ATCCCACCCCCATGCTAAAAAACTAAGAATCCGGGATACAACCCACATCTGCCCAGTACCCCGGTGGACAAAAGAAAAGGGGGCCGGATATTGCCAAAAAAGCAACTCCTTTGGGGACCACCCCGGATCCGAAAGGGGGCTTCCCGAGATACACTCGTCGCCCGAAAAACACCCAAAGCTACTCCGGGATACCGGAGAGGGATCGGGACATCCCCAGGCGATCCAGATTCCACGGCAAACTACGCCACCGCTAAGAACCTCAACGGAATGGGATGGACCCCGGTATCCTTTCTCCTACCTAGGAACTAGCGCGCCTGTGGGAGAAATCCCAAAGGACAAAAAGAGGAAGGGCAAAAGGGAGGAGTGGGGAGGAGGAGGAGGAAAGGAAAAAGGGGAGGATGGGGAGGATGGGATAGGGGAGGGGAGATTGGGGGGTAATTAGGTTCGGTCTGAGGAAGAAGACCGATAGGTCTAATTCCTCAGACCAAGAGCCTCTTCACCACGCCAAGGAGCCCCCCTTGAAGAGGACCCCATTTGGAAATTGGCATCTTTTGAAATTTGTGAAATTGGCAAAATTGCTAATTTCTGGCCACTTTATTGGATAGTTGAAATCGGTAAATGGGTGGTTTCTTGTACTCATTCGATAGAAAAAATGGAGTTCTAGCGAAATAGTTATGATTTTTGTCAACTAGTACACTGGAATTGGCCGAAAATAGGGCTCAAAGTCGGCAAAATCGCCAATGTGTAAACATCGTCGAGACAGCTAACTTCGCGAGAGCATAATTCTGTAAGTTTTTCATCAAATTTCATACTTTTGGTGTCATTATGATCGGGAAAAGATTCTCTATCTTTTTTTTTTTTTCCAAAAAATTTTCGACCCTGAGAACAAGTTAAGGAGAGGGCCTCTTGACTCTGAAAGGGTTAAGACACCTGCTGGCCCTGTTCACCTTGCAGTAAAATAGGTACCTGGGTGTTAGCCAACTGGTGTAACCACATTCTGGGGATAAAACTGACCTAGTTTGCCCAAAATGCTCTGCAAAATAAGTGGCTTTCTACACAGTAGTGTGTCACAGAAGTCAGCTTCATGGCAGTGGTCTGGAGCCTAACCCGCCGTGTTAGTGAGGTATTCCTGTATTTAGTTTTGGGCAATACTGTAGTGTTGACAAACCACCACCGTATCTTGCACAATATGAATGCATAAGTGGATTAAAATGAATCAATACACTACATTCATGGTAAAAAAAAAAAAAAAAAAAAAAAAAAAAAAGCTAGTCAAATCATTTAAGAGAAACAAGTAGCAGTACAAGATGATGGGAGTAGTCTCAAAATTCCCTTGCATTATTAAAGATAAAAAAAACACTAAGGAAAATAATAGTGCAAACCAAAATTCTTTATTGAGGTATATTAGTTTCCTCATGCCTATTAGTAACAACTAATGAAAATATATTTTCTTGACAAAGGCAGCCTTGTTATAGCTGATTGGATAAAAGGCTATTAGCAAACATATACCCAACATTTATAATCAATAGTAATTTTAAACTTTAATCCAAGGCCAAACTGTGTGAATAAGTAAGTTTTCACACAATTATAGCAGTTAATTAATCTGTTATAATATCCCACAATAATTTGGTAGACAGCAACCACCCAGGGGGTACTACCATCCTGCCAAGTGTGAAACAGAAACCTGTAACTGTTTTACATGATGGTAGGATTGCTAGTGTCCTTTTCTCTGTCTCATAAACACACTAGATAACAGGTATATCTTGCTACTTCTACTTACACTCAGGTTACACTACACAGACAGGCACATGCATATATGATTGAACTTTCTTCTTAATGCCAGGAGCAATGGATTAGTAACTCCTCCTCCTGTAGAAAAATACTAAAAAAGAGAAGAAAAACTTTATAAAAACTGGATGCTTGAATGTGGGTGGATGTAGTGTGGATGATAAGAAAGAGATGATTGCTAATGTTATGAATGAAAAGAAGTTGGATGTCCTAGCTCTAAGCAAAACAAAGCTAAAGGGGGTAGGTTAGTTTCAGTTGAGAGAAATAAATGGGATTAAGTCAGGAGTATCTGAGAAAGTTAGGGGCTGGGAAAGGGGGGTAGAAATTTAATGTTGAAGAATCAGTTATGGAAGGAAAAAGGGGAATAAAAAAGGGTATAAAGTAAAGGGGTTTATGTGGTTTAAAAATTTTAAGGGGTTGGGTGCAAAAAAGGGGGTCATTTAAGTGTGAAAGGGCCCCCGGGAAAAAAAAGGGGTGTAGGGGGAGGAGAGTTTTTTAGAAAAACTTTTTAAGGAGTGTTTTGGGGAAATTTTTTAAACCCAAAAAATGAAAGATTAATTTGGTAGGGGACCTAAATGCTAAATTTTGATGAAAATTTTAAAGGGGTTTTGTGGTGGGTTAAGTTTGGGGAGCCAGGGGGTAAATGATCCCTGGGCCCCTTTGATTGAACTTTGGGTATAAAAAGGGGTTTTTTGGTTTAGGTAAAAACCATTTTTTAAGAAAAAAAAAGATAAATATGATCCCAAGAATTGTTTGTAAGGCATAATGGGGAAGTACATTTTGGACCCCCCCCTTAACAAATCACCTCCAAATCCCGACCAATTATTGAAGTGTATTTAGAAAGGGGCTTTTTGTCGTGTATTTTGGGGGGTTTCTGAAAGGGAACTAACCTCTTAACAAATTTCCTTATGGGAAAAAATTGGGTCAGTACGGGCACCTAACTTTACTTCTGGAATAAAAAAATTTTGTTTAAGCGGGGGCCCCACTGTAGTTTTTTGGGGACCACGTATTGGAAAATAAAAGACTTTTGGGGTTTGACTTCAAGATGAAAGGGGTTTTTTATAGGGGGGCCCACATATATTTCGATAAATTTCTAGTTGTAGTTTAAAAGTGGGGAGTAAAAGGTAGGGGGGTTAAAAGGAAAAGGGAAAGGGGCAGCAAGGTAAGAGAGGGGAAAAAGGGTTTTTTAAGTTTAAAGGAGGAGGCGGGTGGGGGGGAAAAGATATAAACAACTTTTGGGTTTGGGAAAAATGTAGGGGTGGGTTTTTTAAGAATGTAGTTTTAAATTGATCGGCACCAAAGTTTGGGTTACGGGAAAAATGGGAGTGGGGGGGGGAAGAGCGATTGAGGGAAAATGATGTTTGTAAAGAAGAAAAGAAAAGGAAAAGAAAAGAGTTAGCATTTTAAGAGGTTTTTTACAAAGTAGAATTTAAAGAAGGAGGGGGGAAAATATAGGGAGAGAAAAAAAGAGAGGTTAAGAGAGTAGTAAATCAATGTAAAAAGAGAGCAAAGGAGGAGTGGGTGAGTTTGTTTTTCAAAAATTTTTTTGTTGAAAATAAGAAAAAGTTTTGGAGAGATTTTTTTAAACTTTAGGAAGCCTAAGGAACGGGAAAGGATTTGATATTAAAAATAGGTGAGGAGGTTATTAAATGAAGGTTAGAGAGTATCGGGAAAATGGGGGGAACGGTTTTAGGAATTGGGTTAAAAAAGTTTATGAAGATAGAGAAGCTGTGATTTTTTTGTAAGGGGCAAGGAGGAATAACATTTTTGTTGGGGAGGAAAAAGCAGGGTTTTGGTTTTGAGGGAAGTTTTGTGTGGCCCCCTGGGGTGAATGAAAGGGGGGTAAGGCATGGGATTGATGGGATAAAGATAAAAATGCATGTGGGGGGTATAAATTTTTTAAATGGCGGTGCTTTTATTTTTAAATGTATGGAAGGGGTTTAAAAGGGACCTTAAAGGGGGGGACCAAAAGAATATGGGAAAAGTTCCTTTGCAAAAAGGCAAAGGGGACAAAAGAGTGCAAAAATTGTAGGGGAATAAGTCTGTTGAGTATACCTGGTAAAGCGTATGGTAGAGTTATTATTGAAAGAATTAAGAGTAAGACGGAGAGTAGGATAGCAGATGAACAAGGAGGCTTTAGGAAGGGCAGGGGGTGTGTAGAAAAGTGTTTACAGTGAAGCATATAGGTGAACAGTATTTAGATAAGGGTAAAGAGATTTTGCTGCATTTTATGGATTTGGACAAGGCATATGACAGGGTGGATAGGGGTGCAATGTGGCAGATGTTGCAAATGTATGGAATATGAGGTAGTTATTGAAAGCAGCAAATGCTCAGGTATTTGCAAGAGGTGAAGGGTTAAAAGATGAAGAATCTAACACAAAGTGGGAGTTGTCACAGTTGCTCTTTGCTGATGACACTGTGCTTTTGGGAGTTTTCTGAGAAGTTGCAGAGGTTGGTGGATGAATTTGGTAGGATATGTAAACGAAGAAAATTAAAAGTGAATAGGAAAGATTATAGGAGACGAGGATAACAAAATAATTAGGTAACGAAGATTGGATATCAGATTGGAGGAAGAAAGTATGGAGGTGGTGAATGTATTCAGATATTTAGGCGTGGACATGTCAGCAGATGGGTCTATGAAAGATGAGGTGAATCACAGAATTGATGAAGGAAAAAGGTGAGTGGTGCACTAAGGAGTCTGTAGTGTCTGTACTACAGTCACACTTAAATGTACAGTATATACAATAGTTGAAATTCAGAACAATTCCTATCAAAAACTAAACAATGAATATTTAAATTGTTGAATGTATAATGTGTGAGCACAAACATCTTCAGAAAACTATTGATGAGATTGTACCCAAACTCCACTATGTAGCCTGTAATATTCCCTGACTGTTTATTTCAAACAAAAATACAATAGCAATACTTGAAGAGCACAACAGCTATCCTTATATATCACTTATGTGATATATAACAATTCTTCAGGTGAGCTCATTCTAATGAAGTAGTATTTTATTCTGTTCCACAACTGCTCTCACCTTTGACCAAGAGTTCAATAACATGGAATGAACTGGAATAGTTACCCTGCAAAAAACAATGCACAGAAAAAGTTTTACAACTGGATCCTGTTAAATTTCCGGACGGAATTTTTGATCTGGTTATAGTTAAAATTCACAATATGATTTTACTGAACGTGATGATTTTACTGAATAAGATTTGTCAGATGTTTTAATCTCTGGACTCTTGAAACATATCCAATAGTTACAACATATTAATTTTGTACATTATATTCATACAAGAGTTTGGTCTATTTTTAAACTACAATATGAAATAATTTTTAAGAAAAATTAAGAGATGCATACAAATTATATTTGAAAACTGCATTATTAATGTAGCTATCTTCATATGCATATGGCACTGTTGTTGATACACTAAATATTCAACACATTGTTAAAAACAAAATTCACAAAAAACAGTAATCAAATGATTTGCACTATAACATGTGAGATTTGTAAAGGATCCAATTTTCTACAGAAGTAGCACCTGACTCCTCACCAGACCTTTTGGGGCTTTCTTGCACTGGCTATCTTAGCATCAGCCAGTTTATCCAATCTTCAACTTCTTACTCCTTCACAAGCAGCATAAATAGGCCCAGCCTTTTCTTGAGCCAACTCCTTAGCTCTCTTGGCAGTTTCCCTTGCAGCTTCCTTTAATCTGAAAAATTAATAAAAATAACTCAGATTTTTTTTTCAACAAACAGGCCATATTCCATCAAAGGGAGGGTGACCTAAAAAGAAAACCCAAAGTTTTTCTTTTTGAATTTAGTAGCTTATACAGAAGGGGTTACTAGCCCCTTGTTCCCAGCATTTTAGTTGCCTTTTACAACACACATGGCTTACAGAGGAAGAATTCCTTTTCACTTCCCCATGGAGATATAATATATATTTTACAGCCTCTCCTCACTTAATGACAGAGTTCTGTTCCCAAGACCTTGGAAATATAAACACACATGCAGTATAATGTGATCCTTTATTGACAATGTTGTCAATAAAGGATCACATTATACTGCAATATGTTTATATTTCCATTGTGTTGGTATTTTATACCATTTATTTCCATCCCAAGACCTTGTTGGTAAACGAATTCATCGCTAAGTGAGAGCATATTATAATAGTAGTGGGTTTGTGTCAAAATATCTTTGATATTCTTTAATGTTACCTTTGCACCATTTATAACATTTCTGGTATATTTTTAAATGTTTATATAGTAATGTACTGTATATTGTAATGAACAGAACAGAGGAAATGAAAGGCACCAAGGCATAAATGTAGACCTTAATGATGAAGGGGATCTAACTTAGAGAAAGTGGTAGGAGAAGCTGCAGAATAGACTTGGACATCATAATCCAGCTTGGACAAGACTAGGGTGGAACGCAAGAAACTTTACCATATCACTTTACCATATCACCATATTTGGGACAAGAGGACGTCTAGGAAAGGTAATGAAATGGGTTTTTGTACTAGAAAATTTAAATACATGAGAAGAGGCCCAATGGGAAACCCGGTCAATCGTATCCTGAAGGGAGGCCACTACCAGGCGACAGTCAGCACCTGTGTAGGCTACAGTGAAGTCATCTACATAAAGTGATGACCAAATATATGATGGAAGAACAGAAGGTGGGGCTTTATAGTCATGAGAAAAAGGACAGTGCTAAGGACACAACCTTGTGGGACACCCTCGGCCTGAGCAAAGTCTGAGGAAAGTGAGGTGCCAACCCAGACATGAAAATGTCTGTCAGATAAGAAAGCAGTAAGGAAAGTTGGCAGATTACCACAGAGGCCTAAAGACTAGGCTTGGGGAAAGATGTAATACCTCCAAGTGGTGTCACATGCCTTCTCAAGATCAAAAAAGACTGCTAGGATGGAGTGTTTGTTAGCAAAGGCATTTCACACATATGTATCTAAGTGGAGCAAGGGGTCCAAAGTAGAGCGGCCCTTGTGAAAGCCATATTGATGAGGAGAAAGACTATTGCGAGTCACCAAGTACCATATCAGACGTCTATTCGCCAATCGCTCCATCACCTTGCAGACTACACTGGTCAGAGCAATGGGACGCTAGTGAGAGGTATCAAGCCCCGAGGTGCCTGGTTTGCGAAATGGTAGTACAATGGCAGATTTCCAGTGTTGAGGGAGAACCCCTCGCATCCAAATAAGATTGAAAAGACACGAAAGGACTGTAAGGGCCGTAGAATGTAGATGTAACATACTGATATGAATACAATCAGGCCCAGCTGCTGATGACTAGCAGGAGGAAAGCATGGACTCTAGCTCTAGGAGTGTGAAAGGTACGTTATACAGCTCCATTCCATTAGAGGAGAAATCCAAGGGTAACTGCTCCATGGTAGACTTAGACAAAAGACATGAGGGACAAAGGTGAAGCCCTTGGAAGACACGGACAAGATGGTTCCCAAGTTCCATGGCAACTTCAAGAGATTCCTCAACACTAACATCAGCAACCTGCAAAATGGGAGCAGATTCCAGAGTGTACTTGCCACACAACTTCTGTACCTTCTTCCAAACCGCACACAAAGGGGAAGACGAGGTAATGGTAGACAGATAGTCTTGCCAACAAGTGCGTTTAGCGTCGTGTATAATGAGGCGAGCACCTGCACTTGCCTGCTTAAAATCCAAAAGACGCTCTGATGTCCAATTATATCAATAATGGCCCCACGCAGCACTTTTCAAATACACTGCACGGGCACATGCAGGAGACCACCAAGGCACGCACATCTGAGAATGCCTGCCTGAGGTTTGAGGAATAGAATGTGATGCCGCAGTGAAAACTAAGGGCAAAAACTGGTGCACTAGTTCATTGATAGAGGACAAAAGAGGGTCACCACAAAATGTGGCAGGATGAAAGTATAAGTCCCAATTCGCTCGTTCAAATTGCCAACAAGGGCTACAGGGCAGTCAGGAATATGTAGTAGAAGTAAGAAGAATAGGAAAGTGATCACTGTCATGTAAATCCAGGAGAAAAGACCAAGTGTAATCAAGTGCAATTGACGAGGAACAGAAAGAAAGATCAATGCAAGAGAGAGATTGAGTGCAACAGTCAAAATGGGTAGGAACACCCATATTTAAAACATGAAGAGAATGAGAAGCGAGAAGAGTCTCCAACTCATCACCATGAGAGTCACAGTGGGACCCTTCACACAGATGATGTTGACTGTTAAAATCACCTAACAACAAGATAGGCGGTGGTAGAGAAGAGATCAAAAATGCAATATCAGAGATACAGAATGCACAGGAGGGGAAAGATATAGAGAGCAAACTGTATACCATCTGTGCAAATAAATACGGGCTTCAGTATAATGCAGCAGAGATCAAACAAAAACCTGCTGATACGGTATACCAACATGCACAAGAAGGGAGCTCTCATTAAGCGATTCATCAGGAAAGGGATCAGAAGAATGCAACAGCACACAGGGCATGATTTGGGGATCAAAAGATATGTTTGGTGTGGCTCTACCAATGTCTTACTGCTCTATGAAACTGAGCAGGATATACCCAAATAAGTTCTAAAACTCGTTCACTAGAATATACAAATTTTTGAAGTTTGAGGTTAATTGCACAGAAACTGGAGGAGGAAAACCAGGGGACAGTGTAAAAATTCAGGTACTCCATAAAGTATCCATCTCCCTTTCATGGATACCTAATGATGTAAGGAACTGTATATAAAATAAGCGAAGATTTAAAAAAATCTTTATTTTCTGTTTATAGCTTTAGGGAATGAGCAAAGTATGAAGAAGTCCTACGTATGAAAATCTGCTATATGTATGGTACTTTCCTAGGATACTGGAAATTTTAAGTGCTGAATTATCACTCACTAATTGCACAATGATAAAGCTTTGTAGTACAAGACTGACAAACCTTTGTTTCCTTTCTTCTAAAGTGAGATGATGTGTGTTTGAAGTTTCAGTAGGACTGTCAGCAACTGGAAACAGCCTGCTGAGAGCATAGGTAAATCCTAAATTGGTTTTCTGAATGTTCTTCTTGTAGCGCTCGATACCAAATTTCTGTCAAGAAAACTACTATTAAAAAACAGATGTAGTACTCTAAAAAAAAATTGTTGAAAAATTTTCACAGCTTAAAGCCTACAGCACGTTAATTACCCTGACTTTAGAGAATGAAAAGCCTTGTGTTACGGGCCACTGAGAAAACTAAACATATCCCACCGAGGCAGGGTGACCTAAAAAGAAAAACGAAAGTGTCTCCTTTTAAATTTAGTAATGTATACAGGAGAAGGGGTGCCTTGCTCCTGGCATTTTAGCTGCCTCTTATGACACACATGGCTTACAGAGGAAGAATTCTGTTATACTTTCCCATGGAGATAAGAGGAAATAAACAAGAACTAGTAAGAAAATAGAAGAAAATCCAGAGGGGTGTGGATATATATGCTAATACATGTATGCACAGTGTGACTTAAATGTAAGTAGTAGTAGTAGTAAGCCATAACTGAAATCTTGCATGTTTATAAAACAAAAAGGACACCAGCAATCTTACCATCATGTAAAACAATTACAAGGTTACGTTTCACACTCACTTGGCAGGACAGTAGTACCTCTCTGGGTGGTTGCTGTCTACAAACTTACAACCTTTTACAATGAAATTAATGACAATAATAAATGACATCCAACAGTGCTGAAATAAGTTACTAAATTGGAGACATGTGAAAATGATTTGGGTTCAATTTAACAATGACTAATTTCCTGTCCAACCACATGCCTACAAGACATTAAATTCTCTTGAAATACAGTAATAAGTTTTTTCTTTACACATGAGAAACTACTAAAATTTATACTATACTCAGTGAACAAATAACAAGAGGTACACAATAAAAAATATCATGATGACTTCATACATCAATTTTGAATAAACTTTACATACTTCGGTTTCTGCCACACTCAAAGTTGATTTTTGCATAGTTTGTTAAACATACCAGCTATCTACCACTGAAGAAGGGTGATCCAAAATAAGGAGGAAACATTCCCTGTTAATTCATTTAATTGCTGTATTGCCAAAGCATGTTGATATCACAGATTAGATGGTCCTCAAAACTGCAACATTCAATGCAGGCACTGTACTTTCCACCTCCAGTACTCAAGTCTGGCTAATCAGTTTTCCTGATCTACTCATTCCAATCTAATGTAATAACACAAGTCTCAATATCTCCTTTACCCCCTCCCTTCAATTCCTCTCTACCCCACATTTATATATCCTCCTACTCATCCTATTTTGCACTATATTTTCTAAATGCCCAAACCAAAGCAATAACTCCTCCTCAGCTCTCTTTTGGTAACCCCACACCACCACCTAATAAAATGCTCCAAATTCTCTGCAAAATATTTCCCCACACATTGCTCTCAAACACTACATCTCACCTGCCTCCAACCTCCCCCTGGCTGCAATGCTTAAAACCCATGTTCCACATCCACATAACAGCGTTGGTACCATTATACTCTGTACATTCCATTTTTGTCTTCATAGATAAATCTCTTTCTTCACGCCAGGTATACTCCAGATTCTTCAATGCTCCACCCACTTTGTTTTCCCTCATCTATTTTATGGTTCACCCAATCTTTTATAGACTCATCAAGTGACACATTCACTCCAAGATATTTAAACACACTAATTTCCTTCATAATAATACTGTACTATCTTGATCCTGAATGTTATCCAGTTTTTCACTGCCTAGGTTTTTAGTTGCTCTCATCACCATGTACTTTGCTGTACTATAGGGCCCCACTTATGTGGCAGGTTAGGTTCCAGGCTACTGCTGGAAAGCAGAATGCCATTTTTTCCACTTATAAAAAGCATATAAATGCCAAACAACAAGTTTACACTAACTTAAATTAAGTTAGTAATAGAACTAGGCATTAAAAAACACAATAAAAAGTAAAATACATACACAGTAAATTCATTACTTACCTTAAAATATTTGTAGTCTTAATGTAGGGCAAGAGGCGAGTAGTACTCATTTGTAGGAAGTCAGGTGTAGGTAGCCTGGCTCCCGGCCCAAACTTATATATATTTAAAGCAGCCCAGAGCAATAAAATACATTACAGTACACGCATTATTTGCCTTTAAACATGTGTAGTGTTAATGTAGGATGAGAGGCAAGTAGTATTTATTTGTAGGAAGTCAGGTGTACGTTGCCGGTAGATGTAGCTATGTAGTCTGTGCCTGGCTACGTAGCTGCACCTACCAACCTACATAGCAGATTCATACATGTTTTCTCTGGTTCTGGACCAGAGGAAAACCAGATTCATACATGTTTTCTCTGGTTCTGGACTAGAGAAAACGTAATGTTTTCCCTCTGTCCGACTACCACTCCTCCATAGCATATACACATAGCATGTTTATATGCTATGTAACGTGTTTCTTATATAATTTTGAAGAAAATATCATAGATGGGTTAATGACAATGTCTATATTAATGTAAAATAAGACATTTAATGTGCCCAAGATTGATTATTATTACAAATTAGTATAATTACTATGGTGTTAAGACTAGAGGGACACTCTTAGTGATTTTAAACCCTTTGACTGTTGCAACCCCAAATTCTGTGGTGTATCCTGGTGTCGCAAAATATTTTGAAAAAAAAAAAAAAAAAAAAAAAAAAAAAAAAAACTTATGATACTATAGAGAATCTTTTCCTGATGGTAATGACACCAAATGTACGAAATTTGATAGAAAACTTACGGAATTACGCTCTCGCGAAGTTAGCGACCTCGGCAATATTTATGATCAGCGATTTCGGCAACTTTGAGCCCTATTTTCAGCTAATTCCATTGTTCCAGTGGCCCAAACTCATAGCTATTTCTTTACAATTCCATTTGTTCTATCGACTGAGTACAAGAAACTGCCCATTTACCAATTTCAACTACCCAGTAAAGTGGTCAGAAATTGGCAATTTGACCAATTTCACACAAATTAAAAAATATGCCAATTTCAAGATAGGGTCCAGAATGAACAATGCAGACATTCCTGGCTCTAAAATAACATTTTCTTTGTTCATCAGTCACACCTCCAGGCCCCTCTGATATTACTCTTGCTTTCTATTTTGAATTTTTATTCAAACAAAAAATAGAATATTTGCTGTTATGCAGACTACTGCAATATTGTAATAATTTTATAAATAATGTCAACCCATTCATGACTGCATATTATTAGAATGACTAGTTGGACATTTATTGGACAATGACGTCATTTGTTTATTCTTGAACATCGGCAAAAATCAAACATTTCCCTTACTTTGAGCTCCATTTCAAGGTCCTTTTCATAGTAAAACCAATCAAAATCACATCCATTTCTATAATATGTTTTCCATTCCATATCAAATGAGACTACAAAAACCATAACCATAAAAACTATACGAAAATACACCTCAAAGTCGGCGTTTTAATCCAAAAACACGGTCGGAGTTTTTTTTCTCATTATGCACTACTTGCTGCAGGATTTTTTTATACTGTGCACACTGACCACACTGACCCATTCTCTCACATGTGGGCCTACCAGCTTTCTCCCACTTGATTTGAAGCCGCTAGAATTTTTGAGCATACACATACGTCAAACACACTGGCTCGTAAGACGTATATATACGACTGAAACAGTCAAAGGGTTAATGTGTACCTGCACGCCAGCATATTGTGTAAGTATATTTAGGTACAGGTACATATAAGTATAATTATCAGTGTGTACATATAAAATATGCAATAACTTTAAAACACTCGAAATTTTGGAAAGTTTCCAGACATAATAAAGATGTGCTCACATGGAGAATGTAAACAAATCAGGTGGGGCGCACCGTATTAGAAAGACGGGGAGCCGTATAGTTTTGGTCATAATTTGAAACTGCCGTATTAGCGGACAACCTTAAGGCAAAACGCCGTAAAGTGGGGCCCTACTGCATTCACTGTAAATATCCTTCTTTTACGAATCCTCCTTGAATCTCCCAAAAGAACTGTGTCATAAGTGAAGAGCAACAGTGACACTTCCCACTTTGTATAACTCTATCTTTTAATCCCCCACTTCTCCCCAGCACCATAGCATTTACTTCTTTTACAACCCCATCTATAAATATGCTAAATCATGGTGACAACACATATCTCTGTCCAAGGTCTAATTTTACTGGAAAATAGTCCTCCCCTTTCCTGCCTACCCTAACCTGAGCCTCACTATCTGCACAAAAAACTTTACTGCTTTTAGTAACCTACTCCCTATTCCATTCATTTGCCAAACTGTTCCTACATCTTGACCCTCAATCTTAAGTCATAAATACAAATACATGAGGAGTGTTCACACCTCTACCTTCATAAATCCTCCTTGTTCCTCTGCAATCCTACTTTCTTACCCTTCATTCTTTCGATAATAACTACAATACACTTTACCTAGTGCACTCAAAAAGCTTATTCTCTATAATTCTTACACTCCCTCTTGTCCTTTTTCCATATGCAAAAGAACTGTGGATGTTCTCTGTCAATCCTTAGATACCTGTCCTTCCCTAATATTGCAACAAAGAATTTGTGCTAACTTGTCTGACAAAATTATGCTTGATGAAAAAGCCAAGTTAGCAAGTTTTGTTTAAAAAGCACAACATAAAAAGCAAGCATGAAGACAAATTCTTAGACCTATATTGACAAATGAAATAAATATTTTAAACTCACATCAAACACATTTAAAAAAAATAGTTGTACTTTCAAAGACTACATGTCGCAAGGTCCTAGATGCCATAGAAGACAAAAAGAATGCAGATGTAATATATACAGACTTTGCAAAAGCCTTCGACAAGTGTGACCATGGCGTAATAGCGCACAAAATGCGTGATAAAGGAATAACAGGAAAAGTTGGTAGATGGATCTATAATTTCCTCACAAACAGAACACAAAGAGTAGTAGTCAACAGAGTAAAGTCTGAGGCGGCTACGGTGAAGAGCTCTGTTCCGCAAGGCACAGTACTCGCTCCCATCTTGTTTCTCAACCTCATATCTGACATAGACAAGGATGTCAGCCACAGTACCGTGTCTTCCTTTGCAGATGACACCCGAATCTGCATGACAGTGTCTTCCATTGCAGACACTGCAAGGCTCTAGGTGAACATCAACCAAATCTTTCAGTGGGCTGCAGAAAACAATATGAAGTTCAACGATGAGAAATTTCAATTACTCCGATATGGTAAACATGAGGAAATTAAAACTCCATCAGAGTACAAAACAAATTCCAGCCACAAAATAGAGCGAAAAACCAACGTCAAAGACTTGGGAGTGATCATGTCGGAGGATCTCACCTTCAAGGACCATAACATTGTATCAATCGCATCTGCTAGAAAAATGACAGGATGGAAAATGAGAACCTTCAAAACAAGGGATGCCAAGCCCATGATGACACTCTTCAAGTCGCTTGTTTTATCTAGGCTGGAATATTGCTGCACACTAACAGCACCTTTCAAAGCAGGTGAAATTGCTGACCTAGAAAATGTACAGAGAACCTTCACGGCGCGCATAACAGAGATAAAACACCTCAATTACTGGGAGCGCTTGAAGTTCCTGAACCTGTACTCCCTGGAATGCAGGCGGGAGAGATACGTGATTATATACACATGGAAAATGCTAGAGGGACTAGTACCAAACTTGCACATGAAAATCATTCACTATGAAAGCAAAAGACTCGGCAGACAATGCAACATCCCCCCCAATGAAAAGCAGGGGTGTCACTAGCATGTTGAGACAACACAATAAGTGTCAGGGGCCCGAGACTGTTCAACTGCCTCCCAGCATACATAAGGGGGATTACCAATAGATCCCTGGCTGTCTTCAAGCAGACACTGGAGAAGCACCTTAAGTTAGTACCTGACCAGCCGGGCTGTGGCTCATACGTTGGATTGCGTGCAGCCAGCAGTAACAGCCTGGTTGATCAGGCTCTGATCCACCAGGAGGCCTGGTCACAGACCGGGCCGCGGGGGCGTTGACCCCCAGAATTCTCTCCAGATATCTCTCCAGATTTTTTTTTTTTTCAACAAGTCGGCCATCTCCCACAGTGGCAGGGTGACCCAAAAAGAAAGAAAATCCCCAAAAAGAAAGAAAATCCCCAAAAAGAAAGAAAATCCCCAAAAAGAAAATACTTTCATCATCATTCAACACTTTCACCTCACTCACACATAATAATTTAATGCAGTTAAACTTCAGAAAAACTTTACCTGGATTGCATACCCAAATCCAAATATTTTTGAGTCAATCCATGCCCTCCTTTCTGCTACTGTCCATTGTGGGTTTTCTGGGCTTGGTTTGTAAATCACCTTTTCAACACAAGTCATAACCTGGAAAAAAAAAATTAAATGCCAAGATTCAAGTTTTCACGACTAACAAAAAAAATTACAAAACTTCCCTCATATACATGCTGACTATTGGATACTACAAAGGAAAGCAAAACAAAAAAACTACTGCAAAACATGTATATACAACAAAATCCTATGATATTACAATTGTTTCAAGGAGTAACACCCACTGAAACATGGAAATACATCACATCATTTGATTATAATTATTTGGTTACCCTGGGTTAAATCTACTTAGTGTGCTTTGTGGTTGAATTCCACTGTTATACCATGAAATTGTAATAAATTTGGAATGAATAAGTCATTACTGTGCTACTTCCACACCATTGTTAACGAGGAGCTGCTCAAAATATCGACTTGGATGACAGCCAATAAACTTACACTTAACACTGGCAAAACCTACTATATTATGTTTGGTAGCAGAGCAGGTGTTGCGCAACTTAACATTAAGATTGACAACACTCTAATTGCCAGACATAATGAGGGCAAATTCCTTGGCCTATACCTTGACAACAACCTAAATTTCAGCACCCATATCCAACACATAACAAAAAAAATATCCAAAACGGTGGGGATCCTCTCCAAGATATGATACCACGTGCCGCAAACTGCCCTTCTCACACTATACCATTCACTTATATATCCATACCTCACCTATGCTATCTGTGCTTGGAGTTCAACTGCAGCAACACACCTAAAGCCAATAATAACCCAACAAAAAGCCACAGTAAGAATAATCACTAAATCCCATCCCTGGCAACACACCCCCCACTCTTCATAGATCTAAACTTACTCCCTGTTCAGAACATCCACACTTACTACTGTGCAATCTATATCTACAGGACCTTAAATTCCAATATTAACCTTGACCTAAAATGCTTTCTTGACAGTTGTGACAGGATCCACAGGCATAACACCAGACACAAACATCTCTATGACATTTCCCGTGTTCGACTAAACCTTTACAAAAATTCAATGTATTTCAAAGGATCTAAAATCTGGAACACCCTACCTGAAAACTCTAGAACTGCAGACACATTCATCACTTTCAAAACTACAGTTAGAAAACATCTTATCTCCCTGATACACCCCGACAACTAACTACATGATAACCACCTGGTGGTTCACAATTACACTCACTCACCCACTGACTATAAACCCAGAAATACTAATCTTAATCTTAAAATAATAAATCCTAACTAGTCATAAGTTTGCCTATGATACTCCAATATAGACACTTCGTATTGTGCCAAAACAAAAGCATTCACATTGCTAAACTCACAAATTATGATGTAGTCACTTAGCCTTAATACCATAATCTGTAAGGATTGTTAAGAATTAATCTAAGTCTGCCCGAAATGCCTAGCCATGCTAGGTGTCCTAGTGGCCCCCTCTGTAATTAGTATTTTATAACATGTAAACCACACAATACCCAAAACCTGTAAACCCCACATTGTAACCTTTATAGAGAATAAACTTGAATTGAATTGAATTGAATTTGCTGGTAGGGATGCTGGTGGTGGAACAACAGCTCCTGATTTCATTGTTTACTTATTCCAGTTGAGCATACTAGTACATTGAAGAGAGTGTCATCACCTGAGTAATTGACCATGACACACTGTGGCCTCTCCTAGTCTTAGATTCTTTCAAAGGTATGAAGAGATAGAAGACCCAAAGAATTGTGCTGAGGTAAAAATATTGGCAAGTGACAGATGAAGACATGAAAAAATGAGTACCAGTATGATGAACACACAGTTGTCATTTGCATATTAGAATGTTTGGTAAAGTTTAACCCTTTGACTGTTTCAGGCCCCTCTCTGAAACTGTCATTCTATGTCGCCAAATATTCGAAAAAAAAAAAATTATTTTTTCTTATGAAAATGTTAGGAATATTTTTACTAGTGTTTTAAGCCTAAAAAAATTTTTTTTGCCATCAGTACTTACCGAGATATAGAGCCGCAAAGTTTGCAGAAATTGACGTGCGTACGGCAACAGCGGCAACTGCCGCCCACCCAGTATTCTTTTATTTACTCTAATTCAAAGGTTTCTTGCATTTTTCAATATTTTTCTTTTCCAGGTAACTTATGTGGCCTGTGAGACCAATGTAAGGTGCATTGTTCAAATATACACTCATTATTTACAACACAATAACAGAACAAACTTTATCACTATTAGTTTGTGTATACACTTTGTTTACACAAACAAACAATACAAAACAATGTTTATTACTATTGTTCCATAATATATACATATGTACAGTCACTAACCACGTTCCTAGAACTGCTGCAGCTTGTGGAACTCTTTGAAACATGGGTATATGCAGAGGGGCACTTCACACTCCTCACACAAAAACGAGTGTCCTGCGTGTTTGTGGGCGTTTTTGTGGTATGCATACATACATAACACCTCTTCTGAGCATTTTTTTTTGGGCAGTAGTAGGAGGCAGTTGTATGGGGTAGTGATCACCAGGCCTCATACGAGATGACGTCTGGGGGCGGCTGGTCTATTGCAGGAGTTGCCCTTGGTACTTTGCAAATTATTTTCTAAATTACTGACAGCTAAATTCACCAATTTTTGGTGTTTTGTGGTCTTCAACTTGTATAGTTTAAGCATTTACCATAGAGATATCAACAAGATGGAAAAAAAAGTTTGATATACCACTTATAACTCTTGCGTCACAGTCTGCAAACCCATCTGCATGTCACATTTGTCCACTAAGCGCATATTGAGGTTGTAGTCCATGACAGCTGCAGGCTTTAGAATGGTCATTGGTCTCTGTTGTCCCTGCCACTGGGTACCATTTCGTTTCTGTGAACTGATGTCAACAATGTGACATCACGTTTGTCATGCCACCGAAATGCCATGATGTCATTGGCAGAAAAGGGCTTGCACCTCACCTCTGCGAGTGCCAGCGTCGAACCTTGGCAAAATGTTTGCGTTTACCACGCACTGGGGCCACACACATCTGTCAAGTTCACTCGCAAGAAATCACTGAGTAAGGGGCTTGCGTACCAGTTATCAGTAAATAACATATGCCCCTTACCAAGATATGGTTCCATCATTGTTCGAACCCATCACCAGAGATACCCAATAACTTCAATGGTATCTCTCAAAGTATTACTCCCAGTGTACACAATAATATCTAAAACAAGACCACTTCTGCAAATCACACAGTACAAATAGCTTTATACCAAAGCGTTTCCTCTTGCTTGGTACATATTGCTTGAATGAGAGTCTTCCTTTGAAAAAAAATCAAGGACTCATCAATAACAAGCTTCCTGAAGGGATAAAAATACATGCAGCACTTTTGTTTCAGGTACATAAACACATTTCTTATCTTATATAACCTGTTGCTTCTGTCAGGCCTGGTTTTGTCCCGAAAAGTGTAACATACGTAACAGTATCAGGAAACGATTGACACCTATAATGTCACTAAAACCTGGAGTTGAAATCAGGCGATCTGTTGTCCAGTATGTGGTGACAGTGTGCTTATACACATGTGGCATAAGCATTATTGGGGGCAAAAAAACAGGTACATCTCTGCCACAGTTGTCTCCTTCCACTTGTGGTAGCCGTGATTTTGGTGAGAGATTGCATTTGCCATGGTGTAATCCGAGTATTGTGTTTGTTTCCCTGACAATGATGTCCATCGGGGTTCATCGAAAAATAACTCAAAGCAGTCCCAGTTCACTGGCATTGTTCCCAAGTGGACAAATGGCTTTATTCCACTTTGTTTCATCAAAGTCATGGGGGCTGGGAAAAAACTCGTCACCATCCTGCCAATCCCAGATGCGTCTGCTGGTGGGGTCTGGATATTGTACCGTGGTTGTGGTTTGCAGGTTGTTTGGGAGTGTGGGTAGGGTGAGGCTGGTTGTTCTGCTGAGTCAGCCGCGTGGGTAGTAGCGTGGCCTGGTGATGGTGCCACATGGGCCGTGCCCCCCTCACTATCACCACCACTACCTCCCCCTCACTGTCCCCCATTCATACCCATCGTTACAATATCGTCATCTTCACTATCAGGTCGTGGTGTAGGGCCACGGGATGTGCTCCCAGAGTTTTCTCCTTCCCCCTTTGGGAAAAACATATGAAACACTACCAACCGCATGCTACGTCGTACATACTGGCGCTTCACTGGGGAATATCACTCTCACTGTCACTAGAACTGCTTTCAATGACCTTGAAATCACTATCAACTGCTATCATCTGGGTGTTTACCCCGACCAAATAGTTTTCTTTCGTCCTGGTACAGGCGAAAGTGAACGTGAACAAGCCGGCACAGCACCAGAGGTCGAAGTTTGTGGGTTATCTGGGTTTTTTTTCACTATTTACTTATCCTGGGGGACTTTTTTCGGTAACACTCGCTTCAAAACCCTGGAATTCACTGTCACTGACATTTTCATCGCTGTTAGAGCTATAATTGGGAATAAAAGACCTCCAATCCGCCGAGGAGTGAGGAACTTCTTACCGAGAGCCATGGTGAAAATGGACTGACAACATGGCGTTCCCACAATGCACTGCTGGGTCCCAGATTTTTTTCACAGGGTGCACACCGACCACTGAGACCCATTCTCTCCCGTGTAGGCCTACCAGGCCTTTGGCGCTTGATTTGAAGCCGCTAGAATTTGTGCATATAAATACGTCAGAAACATTGGCTCGTAAGACGTATTTATACGTCAGAAACAGTCAAAGGGTTAATTAAGGCTTAATCCGAAGAAGGGAAGGGTAGCCCCAATTCTTGGATCATGAACCCCTCACCAGCATCAAGACGCTCTCTCATAAAGGACTGCATGAGAATATATGGTAGAGGCTTATGCAAAGCAACTCACCTTGCACCTCAGCTTAACCTAGCTGAATGCTATTTCAGCTTTGCCTGTAATCATGGTGAGAAGCTAGCAACCTTACAGTAATGTACAAGGCCAATACTCTAAAGCATCCCCCAACTGGAACAGCTAATAGGACAGCAAGTATACAAGACAGGTAGCCCTTAGCAGTTTCACATTGACAGTAAACTTCTCAAGGGCATCATTTTCAGCAATCGTCCAATCCTTGACTAATACATTTGGTACTGGTTCTCACAATATACATATACGTATTTTAGAAATTGACCAAATAAAAGGTGTGGCCCACAACTGGCTCCTACTTCTTCATTCCTTACTTGTATGTTGCTTAACATTAAACAAAGTACAGTATGTACTCACAAATGCTCTTCATAATATAAATATTGATAATGCCAGATACTGAATTGAACAGAGACAAGATAACAGATGTATACTCATAAACCAAATGCAGGAACTCCCAGCCTAACCCTAGTAGAATCCTTAATTATTAAAAAAGGAATGGAGAAAAGTGGTGAAAAAAAAAGCTGCAAAGACAAATGACAGGGAAGAGAGCCTACAGCACGAATGACTGCAAATAGAGAAAGAGCAGGAATGATTGCAGAGGAAGAGCAGGAATGAGTGGGAATTATGGAAAGTGAGATGAGAAAATAGAATGGAGGGAATGTGAAAAAAGCAGAGGAGAGTGAGAGAAAGGAAAGAGGAATGAAAAATAAGGAGTGACAAAGATCCAAAGAAGTATACTACAAAGGAAACGTGCAAAGTGTATCACACTCCTGATTTCTCTGATACATGCATGCAAAATTTACGCATCTCTTTTTGATAAACCCTGACTGCCCTACCATACAAGAAATACACTGCTGCTATCTCACTCACTCAGCAGCCTAGACTCAGACAACAGGTCCTAGTCCTCTCTCCCTCACGGGCATGACCCTCACGGGCCATGGGCACTTAACACACTGCCTGTGTACCCCATGATATTGCAAATAAAATAAAAAGCCTTCGAAGCCCTTTATCATTACCCCCCACTACCAAGAATGACCCAATAAACCTCGTAAACAACTCACCTTGGTTAACCCAACATTCCTTGTGTATGTACACATTTCTCTCTTATCTGGATCCACAATAGATTCTTCAATGATACTGACATTCCGGGCATTGATCAGTCGTTCACCCCATTTTGGCATACGATTTGTTTTAGTTAATATCCTTTTGGAGTGCAGCTGATGTCCAATGACTTTCCTGACTATGGTGTCCTCAGACAGAACATGAGAGCTGTGGACATATAAACTTGTGAGAAGAAATAACCATAAAAATCTGTGACCATAAACATAGAAAAATGCATGGAAAAAATTAACAGAAAAATATTCTGGCCCTTTCAAGTATTTTTTTAACACACTGGCCATCTCCCACTGAAGAAGAGTGACTCAAAAAAGAAGAAACACTTTTACCTTCACTGTCTTGCCAGTTCAAAACTGCCAATATCCCCACCCCTCCTTCAGAGTGCAGGCGCTGTAATTTCCACCTGCAGGACTCAAGTTGGGCTGGCCAGTTTTCCTGAATCCCTTCATAAATGTTGCCCAGATCACGCTCCAACAGTATGTCAAAGTTATAAAAATCACTTGTCTCCACTCACTCCTATCTAATACACTTACTGGATGCCTAAGCCCCACACACAAAACCTCCTTTACCCCCTCCAAGTCATCTTATTCTGCTCCAAAATAGGAACAGAGGTGCTTGATCTACTCTCAGTAAGAAGTTATTTGTCTCCCATGGGTTCGAGGACCCCAATAAAAATAACTTAAGTCACACTGTTGGGTTATTTTAGGCTATATCTACCTAAGTTACCAACACTGTATACCTATAACAAATATGTGTTACTGAAAACATTGTATAAATTTATAAAACAGTCTGTAAAGGTACATATACATTACCTGAATAAGCCTGTTTTAAGCTACAAACTGTTTTTGCTGTGTTAATCCCAATTTTGTTAAATTATGAGAACTATCACCTAGGCTGATAAATTATGATAAAAATTACTATTAAGGAATCTTTACCTTTCAGGGTTTGGGTAACGCTGCCAGATACCCTGAGCCACTTGCTCCCATGAAAATTTGAGGATATTGCTGCCTTCATAGAACTTCATTGCTGCAATTTTGTTATAGTATGCTGAAATTAAAAAAAAAAATATCAATATTAAAAAAAATTCTTTCACTTTTGCATGAATGACACTGTTGTTATTAAGTGCCCAAACTGTATACTGACTCAAATAGCCAAACAAGATGCAGTTATTTAGTCAATTTGCTTATTTTTTATAACATATATTTTTTTTAGATTTATGAAACCTAAAAGACTATTTGGATTATTACCCTTGAAGAGTTAGTAATCCCAGATAACCCAATAAAGCCATTTAATGTAGCTTATTTCTGCTAGGGTATTTTTTCATCTTCCCAAAGGATGATACCTGGAACAATCAACTCCCAGGTATTTATTTACTGCTATGTAATAGAGGCAGCAAGTATTAGGGTACTTGCCCATGTGTGTCTGCCTCAGTGTGGGGTTCAGCCCCCACATCCTCTACAGTGTGAGCTGAGTGCATGAGTACATGGCAGTCAGGTAGTGACAGGAAATGGAAGCAAGTCACTTTTTTTTCCGTTTTTTTTTTTTTTTGGGGGGGGGGGGAATATCCTGGGTAATTTACACTATGTATGATAATTGTACTTACGTGTACCTGTGCCTAAATAAACTTACTATAGGTTAGGCTAGGGTGTCTAGTAGCTTAGTGGTTACACTAAGCTACTAGACACCCTAACCTAACCTATAGTAAGTTTATTTAGGCACAGGTACACGTATATACAATTATCATACACAGTGTAAATTACCCAGGATATTCCCCCCAAAAAAAGTCGAAAAAAAAAGTGACTTCCATTTCCTGTCACTACCTGACTGCCATGTACATAGCCTTCAACAAACTGTTACCCGGCTTCTAGGCAACTATACATTTTCTTTTATATATAAGTTTTTATTTAGGATTTGGGCACGTAACATACCAATTTTTTTTTTATAACTGTTTTGAGGAGGTACATGTTACGATCACATTATGCAAATTAACTATACCTAAAACGCTAAAAAAAAGAATCAAAATGCGATTTATTAGGTAATAAAATTAACTTCAGTACTTAAACAAAAATAACCTTATAACCAAGTTAGTATTAGTAATTTTACAGACAAAAGAATACGACAAGCATTCACTGATAAGTTATCGGCCAAGAAGATGCATCACAATACGGGCTCTTAGCAACCCACTACTAAACAAAACATAAATATTTTCAAATATTAAAGTAACCTACCCTGATTATGTTTATCTTGTTAAGTCAGCGAAGTACAAATCTAAAATATTTTGTGATAATACTGGTGAGGAGTCAGAATTTTTTTCC